AATCTTGTCAAATACAAAACACACAAAAACCATTAGTCACATGTGCTGGTAATAAGAATCTTGTCAAATACAAAACACACAAAAACCATTAGTCACATGTGTTGCTAACAAAAATGATGTCGATTACAAAAAACACACAATGTTAACGCCAAAAATATCCAAGTATTAACAAACAAATGTTACCAATGCCTTTGTGATCATCACCTGTTGTAAGCTCGTGGTATAAATCACTAAGCAGGCATAACTGTGTATTAAAAGGATGACTTGAGCATGAAACAAAACAAAAAAGTATCAGAGGAATCAAGTCAAAAACTGGATCTGTTATGGCCAAAGTTGGCATTTTTCCTTATCTCTTATTTAGTTACCTACCTCTATGCACCACAAAGAGCTATTATCTCACATGCAACTGCCGCGGAATTTCCTTTGCATACCACAAGCCTTTAATAAACTCCCATCAGGAACTGTTGGGGAGATATTGTAATCAGGTGTCCTGTACTACACCCTTCAGGTAACACCCCAGCACTACATCTCAAACAAGTGGTAAGATCTCTTACTGGGGGGGAGGGGGGCATTATTTGCAGAGGAAACTTGACATCAACATCCCCAGTAGCTTGAGACTAGGGAAGTAAGGGTTACCCTGGACACAATTATCTGGAATTCGGTCCCCACTGAGATGCAGTGCAATGGGTTAATATGATTAAAGACAGCAAGTGTGAGCCAGATGGGATCTGATGGCACCAAATATAAGAAATGTAGAAGCAAATTCCTTATGTTATATTCAAGCTTGTGTGCTTTACCTCCTTTGATTTTTCGTATATGTTTATATCTTTATATTTTTTACTCCTTTTTTTGGAGTATGTGTTGGAATGTGCATAGAAATAAAGGTACACACACATGTAGGTGCTACAAAATGTAGGAATGGCATGGAGATGACTGAAAACCTAACAGGCCAAACACATCCTACTAGAACCTTTGGGTAGACTAAAGGAAGGTAAAAACCAGAAGCACATAAAACTTCCCAATAATGTAAGGAATTGGAGAAGAATGTATAGCCACATACAAGCCTGTAAAATCTCCTCCAAAGGCTGGTGATGAAAAGTGACAAGAGATGCTGTGATATGCTGAAACTGGTAGGAAGAGACACAAAAAGTGTATGGTCAGACTCACTGAAAGAAGAACACGTCAGACAGATGTGTTGACAAACCCAAATAGTTAAAATGGAAGGGGATAAATCATGAGAGAAGGAGGCTTGCCACAGTGAAAAAAAATCAGGAAGCGACAATTTACACTAAAAGAGGTAGTCCAATTAAAATAGCAATGGCCAATTGGAACAGGAGTGTGAAGGTGTTGAGAACTGCCCTCTAACTGGAAATAAATACATCAGGGCAGAGATGCAAGTCAGGGGGAGTGGAATACCTCAGGTTGTGTTAAAGCAATAAAGCCACCACAAGAGAAGGATGTAGAGGTAAAGATAGAGATGAAGGGCAGAAAAGGGATTGCAGGACATGCTTCTCTGATCTTCCAGAGCCTATTGAAATGGACAAGTGCACACAACCAGTAGAGATCAGTGGTTCAAGAGATGCAAAGGTCCCCAAAAGTGAGAGAACCTCTCATGCAGGAAGAAAAGGAGAGAGAAGTACCTTGGAAACCAAGATCTCAAAGACGCAAAGTACAGGGTTGGGCTTGCTTCATATGGGAAACAAAGAAATTCCCAGTTGGATAAGACACTGAATTGGAACCAAAAAAAAACAAAAAACTTAGAAAGTCTGATCCCCCAGCTCAGGCAAGGTGTCTCCTAAAAAAGAAGAATGGAGGCAGCAATCTCCTAATCCTGTTGAGATTGGGCCAGATGGCTAGCCTTTTGAAAGTGGGAGACAGTGAACAGAAGAAACTGAATGAAAGACAGAAGATAGGTGAACACAAGGACAGATAAAAGATAGAGATACTCATGGACTAATTGGTCAGGAAATTAAGAAAACAATGGAAGACTGCTAGAGAGCAACTTTAGCCTGGGATTCCAAGAAGTCTGGAACTCCCCCAAAGATCTGAACTGTAAGAAAAGAGGTGAGATGAAGGCACTGAAAGTAAGAGGAAGGGAAGTGAGCACCCAACAGGAAAACATCTCAACTAAGGGAATCCACAAAACAACAACAAAAAAAAGTCAAAGTATAAACAGTAGATGAAGAAATAGAAGCCAAAGTGGCAAACAAAGAAAAAATAAGTGATCCATCAAAACCATTGGAATTGAGATGAAGAGCCTCAGTGAGGATATGAAGGGCAGAGATACAGCAAAGGTAAAAACAAACAAAGACTAGTAGATGAGGGTTATGAAATGGAGAAGAAGTAAGCAAAAAAGAACCAATACAGTGATGTGGAATCATCATCAGTTAATTTATTGTAACACCATGGTACATCACAGCTTTACAAGACTGCGGTAATTTAAGTTAGCTACAACATCAACAATACCTTGCCACGGAGTGAGATCCAAGATCTAAAATAATAGGGTGAGCTAAAATAAATGTCAGTTCCACGAACAAATAAGAAGCCTTCAGTCACCATTGAGGCAGTTGGATAAAATGCTTTAAAAGGCATTCCTGGACCTCAAGTTTTTGTTTTAAAGCATACACTGACTTGCAATGATATGGATGGGACAAAAACAAGAACAAAAGCAATGTAGCACTAAAGAAAGAAAGTCAACTAGAAACTGAAAAAGCACAAAAAAAACGCATGTTTGAAGACAGGTAGTGCTGAGGAAAGAATGAGCCTGTAATCATGTGCAGTGCTCAAAGGAATTACTGAGAATGAAGGTTGTGTCACCCTTCTATTGGTGGAAGCCTACAGCATTAGGACAATTAGGTCATAGATGCAGTACACATGAACACATATAGGGATGGGAATTTGTTCAAGGCTCGTGGCATGCATAGAAAATTATATGGCAGTTGTGTGTAAGGTAATAGCTCTTAGTGGTGAAGAGGTAAGTGGTGTTTCTGAAATTGACAATACAGAACTCTCCTACCTAAGTGAACAGGATGGTAAATAACATCCTTTAACGGTCTTGAAATGGGTTTAGATGAAGCTTCCATCACGACATATGAAACACAACTTCTTCAAAACATTATTCTTTACAAGGTAATAGAATTTAAGGGAGAGTAAAAAGATTTGTGAGTAATAACCAAATCAGCTAAAAGTAACTAGCTGGATACTAAATTCTTGAAATGAGAAAAACACAAAATAAAGGTGGGAAGGAAACAATAAGAGGCTAATGTTTTTTTAGTGATGTTATCAAGTAAAAACTAGTCTACTGATTAACTAATAAAAATTTCTAGAGACTGAAGATACAACACTTTAACAATATCCTATGGAAAATTAACAATTTTGTTGATGTACTGAAATTTATTTTTATTCATGTGAATACAATTAAAAAAAAAACATAAACATTAATGATTTGTACTTCCTACCACAATAAACTTCACCACTCACCTGTTCCAGATCCAGAAGCTGCTGGTGCAACAACGATGTTGACACAGCCCTGTGTACGAAGGTCCCAGAATCTGATTGTTTTGTCTTGAGATCCACTTACAAACATAGCCCCACCCCATGTGTAAAGTGAAAAAATATGACCTGAAATTAACAAAAAAAAAAGTTTGAAATTTTGCCTATAAGCAGACTTCACTAGAAAATTTGCTGATACTAATGACAAAAATTTAGTTGCAAAACCAGACTGATAATATATTTCATCCAAAAATCATGTAAAAAATTATGAAAATAAAAAATCTTAGATGAAATCAGATATATATATTTTGAGGTTGTCAAAAAATCATTAATTAAAAGATAATTAAGTAGTTGTGAGGTGGTAAATCACTAAATTCCCTTTGGAATTATACACTGAACTTAAACTGTTATTTACAAATTACTTATTTGAGCATAAGTTGATATTAAGCTTAAGTAATTTATAATACAGTACTGTGTAAAAGTGTTAGGACAAAGTCAAAAATAAGATTTAAGGCTGAAACGTCAAAATTTTATTAATCTTAATACTTAGTACAACAGAAACTCAGTGGAAGTGCTTGAGTTCAGCAAACAATTACTACTTTGTATCCCCCTTTTGCTTTAACTCTTCCAACACAGGGTAGGCAGTTTGACCGAGTCACGTGACCTTCTGTACTCGTTTAAAGTTGATATAAATTTAATACTTATAACTCTCTATATATTGGGTATATCTTCATAAAATTTGGCAGTCTTTCAGTTAATATTACAAGTCTTTCCCATACAAAAAGTCATATTTCTTAGTGAAGCATTTTTAATAAAATAAAGTTTTGTCCATGAATATATTGAGTATTTGTTTTGAATATTCCATGTGCAAAGTAATTTTCATGTTAAAATTAAAAATACTTTCCATTATCTCAAAAATCTCAAATTTCCTTTGTGTAATCCCTAAAACCTCCTAAATGCATTTCAAACGTTTTTTTCTCCCACTAAATCCTTATAGCTTTATGTTATTAAACCTATCTCAAAACGGATTGGTCAATTCGACTGACCTCATAACCACCAACAACAACAACAAAACAAAAACAAAAAAAAACGAAATAAACCTAAATTAACCTTCTTTTCTTTCTAGTGTGATTTCAAATTGTAACATGAAACTACATTTATTTATCCTAAGTAGCTCTAAGTTCGTAGCATTATACATCTATTTATAATTAAATGCTATTGTTTTATTCACCATTTTATTGCCGTTTGAACCGTGTCTAACTGCTGTTCGCACCATTATAAGTTGTAAATCATTCAGGGAACATGCAGCTCACATTATGCTATCGAATTACATTACCCACGAGCTGCTCGCGTGCTTTGTGAACTGTTTTAATTATATTATTATTACTTATTTTACATATTCTAGTCTTAAATATCTTAAAAAGATCCGTACTTTTAATTTTAGTTACTTTTATAATAAAAAATAAAGAATAAATGTGAAAACAACAAATAAAGTACTTACCCACGTCTTCTTTTTTCTTTGTCCCTCGA